TTATTTCTTGGGGGGATATCTGTATCGAAGAATCGAGACATGAAAGTAAGCGTCCTTCAGGTCGACCACTGCAAACCAATCCTGGGGCTGGATGCATCTGATGATCAGCTTCTGCGTCAACATCTTGAACGGAAGCTTGTGAAGGGCCCGATTCAAGACCCGCAGATCCAGGATTGGCCGAAGGCCACCGCCTTTTTTGGGCACGATGAAGTAAGGCAGGGCTTGATGTTTACCTTTTTCCCAAGGAGCACATGTGCTCCTAAGTTGAAAAATTTAGGAGCATATTAAAAAAATGTAGGGTCGCAATGCAAATTTTTCAAATGATGTGTTTTAGCTTAATAAGGGGATATAAGGAGACATTTACAAACACAATTATTTAATTTATCAGAATACAGAAAGAACACAAGGTTTTTAAATAATTTTGCTTCAGACTCTATTTAATGGCTAATTATGTAATTATTTATAGTTCTATTAAATTGTACATTAGGTATGTGACAGTATCAAATTTTCACAATAGTCATTGAAGCTTTTATCACGGTATATGGTTTTATCACAATATATAATTTAGTACAGTGGTTCCCAAACCTGTCCTGGAGGACCCCCTGCCCTGCACATTTTAGGGCCAGGGCAGGGGGGCCTCCAGGACAGGTTTGGGAAGCACTGATTTAGTAAGTAAAAAAACAGTGCTGTCCTCCTAACAGGTTAAATAACGTTATTAAATATCTTTTACTAAAGAAAGACTTTATTTAAAAAGTAATTATTTATAGTTCTATTAAATTGTACATTAGGTATGTGACAGTATCAAATTTTCACAATAGTCATTGAAGCTTTTATCACGGTATATGGTTTTATCACAATATATAATTTAGTACAGTGGTTCCCAAACCTGTCCTGGAGGACCCCCTGCCCTGCACATTTTGTATGTCTCCCTAATCAGACACACCCAATTTAGTTCTTGTAGTCTCTACTAACGAGCTGATGAGTGGAATCAGGTGTGTTAGATAAGGGAGACATACAAAAGGTGCAGGGCAGGGGGGCCTCCAGGACAGGTTTGGGAAGCACTGATTTAGTAAGTAAAAAAACAGTGTTGTCCTCCTAACAGGTTAAATAACGTTATTAAATATCTTTTACTAAAGAAAGACTTTATTTTAAAAAAAATACACAAAAATATAAAGTAAACAAGTGTTTCAAGATTAGAGTGCAAAAGTTTAAAGTTCAAATGAATGAAAGAACAATAGGCAACACTTTACAATAAGGTCCCATTAGTTAACTTTAGTTAAAGCAGGTTAACATTAACTATCAATGTGCAATAGCATATTGTTGCAGTAGTTAATATTATTTGTTAATGTTGGTTATAAAAATACAACTATTATATAACCTGTTAAGTGATACGAACAATAACGAATCAGTCAATATATAGGTAGGCCATGTTTTAGGATAGATTAAAACAAAATAAATAGCTTATTAAGTCTTTAAGTATTAATTATGGTGAGCTATGGTGAAGACTAAAGCGAATATAAATATCTAAATGACTGTTTGAAACATTTACACGCAGTTCAGAAAGTAGCAGCTGCTTTGTTTACAGAGTTACCGGGGTAACGGCTGCATTTCTTCCTCCGTCAGCGCCCCCTAGTGCACGCTTTCATTCAGCGCATCTCCTTCACTCGTTCCGCCTTCTCATCTGTGCCATTTCATCGTCGCCTTTTTAAAGTTCAATAATCATATGAGGCTGTATCGCTGCTTTTCCTATAAATAAACTGAAGAAATTAATACATTTTTTATAGGCTACCATGTAAGTTAGGATGTTTAATTCGCACTCATGCTTCTAAATACATTTTTCAGTTCGCACATATCTATTTTTAGTCGCAAATGCAAGTGAAATGCTCACACTGTCGAGCCCTGTAAGGGCTGTAAAACCCTGACTTCATCTCGGCTGGAGGGACAGGCTCGATTGCATCCTTCGCGAGTAGGACAGCAATCTCGTCACGCTGGACAGGGGCATCTCGGGCTGCCACCAAAGTCTCGAGAATGCCGCTGGATCTGGGAGGTCGCCTGGCGAACTGAATCGCGTAGCCGAGTCGAACTGTCAGAATGAGCCAGCGGGACGGGTTGGGCAGTGCTAGCCAAGCCATTGGACCAGCGGCGGAACAGGAAAAACACAAAACACAGGATTCTCCGCCCGGCTCTCCTCTGGGGGAAGGAGTGGCGCTGTCCTCGCCATCTCCTGAGAAAGAGCAGCTTCCCACATCTCCGGGTTGCCCATGTCTGGGCCGCTTCATCATCTTTCTAGAGGACTTAGGGGCCAGCTGGGACACAGGGGGCACCGCGGTCCTGCGAGAGGCTCGACGCGTCGGCCTTGATGCCCAGAGGGCGAAGTCAGTCGCCGAACGCAGCTCCTGCATCAACCCCGGGTCGGTACTACCCTCGTGCATTTGTTTTAGTGCCTTGGCTTGGTGGACCTGCAGGATAGTCATGCCATGCAGGGCAGAGGCGGCTTGGCCCACAGTATTGTAAGCTTTGGCGGCGAGAGCTGCCGTCAGCTTACAGGCTTTGGACGGGAGTTTTGTAGGGATGTAACGATTCACTCAACTCACGATTCGATTCGATT